AGTAGATTATTTTACAAAATGGATAGAAGCCGAACCACTCGCTTGCATTTCCGCAGCGAGTGTCCAGAAGTTTGTTTGGAAAAATCTGGTTACCCGCTTCGACATTCCTTATGCCATCGTCTCGGACAACGGCCTTCAATTTACTGACAAGAAGTTCAACACCTTCCTTGAAAATCTCGGCATTCGTCACCGGTTCACATCAGTCGAGCATCCCCAATCAAACGGCCAGGCCAAAGCAGCGAACAAAGTTATCCTCACAGAGCTCAAGAAACGACTTGGTTCGGCTAAAGGTGTATGGGCTGAAGAATTACCGGAAGTCCTTTGGGCATACCGGTGTACACCACAATCAACAACCAAGGAGACACCCTTTCGCCTAACATACGGCGCAGATGCAATGATTCCGGTTGAAGTAGGAGAACCTTCATTTCGACGACAACACTTCCATGAAGAATCTAACGATGATTCAATCCGAGCCGAACTCGATGTCCTTGATGAAGTGCGAGAAAGGGCACAAATTGTAGCCGAGGCCTGCAAGCAACGCATGAGTAGACGCTTTAATTCCAACTTAAAGCCAAGGACGTTTCATGAAGGAGATCTTGTTTGGCGAGCGACTGGGTCGGCCAGGCGCAACTCATCCGAAGGGAAGCTCTCGGCCAATTGGGACGGACCGTTCCGGATATGGCACGTATTCCACAATGGAGCATACAAGCTGGAAGAACTGTCCGGCAAGATCATTCTGAGAACGTGGAACTCCACTTATCTAAAGACATATTATAGCTAAACCTGTATTTACATTTCAACTGCGTGTAAAATGGTGCACTCTTTTCCTTGAACCGATCTTTTTTCCTCTTATAAAATTGTGAAAAGGGGTTTTTGGTTGGCAAGGTTTTTAACGAGGCACCAGTTCATTAATGAAAAAGCATTCTCAGTATTCAAGCTTGTCAATTGTTTCGTCTTCGTGTTAAATTATACAAGTCTTCCCTCCCAAGATGTCTCTCGGCCAAGGATGTGGCTTTAATTATTTTTACAAGTCTTCCCTCCCGAGATGTCTCTCGGCCAAGGATGTGGCTTTAATCATTTAACAAGTCTTCCCTCCCGAGATGTCTCTCGGCCAAGGATGCAGCTTTCACTAATTCAAGTCTTCCTTCTCGAGATGTCTCTCGGCTAAGGATGTGACTTCAAATATTTTATCAAGTTTTCACTCCCGAGACGTCTCTCGGCCAAGGATGTGGCTTATGATTAAAATTTTTTAAGTCTTCCCCCCCGAGACGCCTCTCGGTCAAGGATGCGGCTCACGGTTAAAATTTTTTACAAATCAATTTTCAGTATTACACAAGCAGGGTAAGTTGAACAGCTAAGGAGTAATGACAACACAAATTCATTAAGGCGCTATCGGCCTGGAGAAGTACAATGATAAAAGGGCACTATCGGCCCATTCATACAAAAAGCGATGAAAATTCAAAGAGCACTACCGGCTCATTAACACAAAAAGCACTCAAGAAACAATTCAAGACTGCACCTCCGCCTCCCCCTACACTGGGCCATCTTCCGGAGCACCTTCCTCATAGGCCGTCTCCTCGTTAGGCCCGGCTGCACGAATCGGAGCCTCCTCGTCTGGCTGCTGATCCGGCGGGATAGAAGTTAGATCCACTAACTTCCCCTGGAAGAAGTCCTTGGTCATATCCAGCTGGAAGTCGGAGGGGAAGTCACCAAAGCAACGCGCTTGCCGAGCCGCCTGGTTGAACCCAGCCTGATGCTAAGACAGAACCTTGCTACGAGCTTTTTCTTGATAAGCCCCGAAGGCTATTTTCTCGGATTCCAACTCTTTGCTCAGCAGTTCAACCTTCTCCGTTTCATTCTTCAAGGCAACCTCTAGACGCTGGACTTTCAGCGCCAAGCCATCAGCCGTACGCCCCCGGCGGTCCAACCCGGCCTGAAACTTGCTGTTGGCCGTTTGGGCGTCGGTCAGCGCCGCCAAAGTCTCTTGTAAAGACTTCTCCTGCTCCGCCAGATGACGACGGAGGCCTTGCGCCTCTCCGTTCGGCTCCATCACAATACTCTGAGCCAAGGCGACAGCCCGAACCTGGAACTCGCAGAAAAAGTTCCACTTTTGAGCCGAGCTCATGCGACTCAGCACCCCTTGCCCAGCCTCGGAGGTCAGGTCCTGGCTCAAGAAATCTTGAGCGTTGACATTGCCGGCCAAGAAACTAGGCCCAATCAACCCCTCAGGAGCGTTCGGGTTGGCTAGCCGTTGCTGCTTCGCCCGCCGGCTTTCATCCACGACCCTTACTCTTTCGGGCCCTCTCTTTTCACCATGAGGCTGGGTCGGACCTTTGCCCCCTTTCTTCACCCGGGCAGTTGGCCCCGACCCACCACCTTGTGGAGTGGAGGTATTCCCAGCCACGGGAACGTTGGTTGGAACCCTGTTCCCCGCCGTCGCCGCCAGTTGGTTCCTAATCAGCGTACGGATGTCCAAGTCGTCATCAGCATGGTTCGCCATTATACCTGCACATCATTAGTCAAAATCAATGATAACGTAAGAATTCAAACAACTAGGAAAGTTACTATACCAAGTAGTTCCTCAGTCGGGTCAGCCGTTTCAAACAGCCGAACTAGCGGTCGACAAGGCAGTGGTCGAGGCAGCTTCAATAAGAAGTTTAAGCTAGTTCGCTCCTCGGGAGACAGTCGGGACTTAGACACGGTATCGTACTTGCGTGGCTTTCGGGTCTAGTAGAATGGAAACAAGGGCCGTCCGTTGTCATCAAAAAAGTATTTCTTCCCTGTTGACGGCCTAATCATCACTTTAAGAAATCCTCCCTTGAAATTCTTGTAGGAGGTCGTAAACGGCTGCAGCAAACAATCGGCATGCCGAACCAATGACAACCACTTAACCTTCTTAGCTGGCCGAGATGAATAAAAATACAGAAATAAGAGAGGAGTGGGCTCGAGGCCGAGAGCTAGGCACAGCCGCCTAAACCCTTGCATGGCGGCCCAAGTATTGGGGTGAAGTTGAGTGGGGGCCACGTTCAGCAAACGCAATATCCCCGAAAAATACTCGTCAAACGGTAACGCGACCTTCAAGTCGCGAAACATGTAATCATATACGTAGAAAAAGTGATATTTACTATTTCCTTGGTCTAAAAAGACGAAGTCTGGGTTTGGATCGCCGTCACCTCGACACGGCTGAAAGAAGATCGGAGAGGGATCCTCTTCGGCTGGGAAAGTTACACAATTCGTAGCCGAAAGAAAAAGCGCGAGAGAATTCTTGTCGGCATACCGAGAGTAGACACTACCCACTTCCCCGTGCACCCATGAATAACCAGGTGTCACGATAGGAGGAAACTGCCTCGAAGCCGTGGAGGGTCGATCCTCTAAACCTATTACAGATGCGGAATCGCCTTCACTCGTCGTGTGCCTTGACCCTGAAGCAGATCCCGCGTGGCCCGACCCATTCGAGGCCGAAGCCGATACATCGTGTCGGTCCGACGCTGCCCCCGACGCGACATTAGCAGAACCACCCGTATCCCTAGAGGAGTCAACATGAACGATATTTAAATCCGCCATTACGTACCTGATTTTTGAGCTTGACCTATCGTGTCGGTCCGAATAATCCAGCACTTGAATGATTTCGGCTCGGAGCAAGTTATCACTGTGTACCTTTGAGGTCCCCCCCCACACGCCTTTTTATAGGCGCTCCCCGCGAACACCCCAAAGGCCACACCCCTCTGCGCACCGTTGGATCACTGGAATCCAATGGTTCACAACGCGCAGCCTTTCGCATGCGTCATTAATACCCAACGGTTACAACCTTTGGTATTCCCCCAACGGGCACAACCCTTAGTCTTCCACCAGCGGCCATAACTCCTCGCGTAATTAATACTCAACCGTTGCAACTCTTCGTTTCCCGCCAACGCTTGACCTCATCTTCAAGGCCACCACCAAGACACTTTTACCCTTTGCGTTGTTCCACTCCTCAAGGCTGGGGGGCTTGTGTACCGGGAGGACCCAATCGGTCACGTGGACCAACACGTGCCGTCCCATCAGACACCCACGCGAAGTGAATTATGCCCAAAAGTCTTGACATCAGCATCGGCTCGGGCTATAACTGAAGGCCGAAGTGAGCCTGATAGCACGATCGGCTCGGCTTGAGGCCGATACGAATAGAACCATAGACATCTTTGCAGGCCACGGACCGACTCGGACAAGCCCCGAACAAGCAGTTCAGCGCAGCAAACGCGTAACGGCACGGTCTAAGGCCGAGCCGAATGAGGAGGCAATAATTAGAGCCTTCATCGTGGTTAATAAGGATAAGTGCGTGATTAAGGCATAATTAGCCTATTAGCATCGTATTACCTAATTTGGTAAACTTCAGGAGAGGCCCACTACTGACAAGGCCCATCAGTGGTAGTATAAATAGGTCACTTTTGTCAAGGTATGTCACTGTTCATTAATTATCCTAGAATATCGTGTTTGTCCTGACTTGAGCGTCGGGGTGCCTTTTGCAGGTATCTCCCCCTCGCGCAGAAGAGTCCACCTGAAGACCCTCGTTCGACCCTTTCCCACTGAAGAGTACAAGTGTGCCCTCAGACAGGTACAATAATAATAATAATGATAATAATAGAAATGATGGTGATGTATTACTTAATATTTTTTTTATTATTAAATAGAATCTAATATGAATGAATCAGTAAAGATTGAACCTAAATAGTTTAATAAAAATTGTATGGAATTTAATTTAAACACAAAAAACTGTAAAAATGTGTTCCAAAAAATTCTTAAGATATATGTATGCCTAACTAATTGTCTATCCTGCATGTTGCAAAGTCCAATAAGTAAAAAAAAAAAAATCTAAAATGTAGGAAGGAAATAAAAAAACCCAGAGACAAAAAAGAGAAGGAATTCTATCTAGTCGTTTAATCCACTTACGTGGCAAATTCTGATTGGACTTGGAGAGTTTGCCCGCTCTATATTCGTCCGAGAAACTGTAGGAAATATCGTTGCGCGGGTATTTAAGAAAATAAATAGCGGATAAATGGTTCTTCTCTCTGCCACTGCTTCTTTGTTCTTCAATCCTTCACTCATCTCAATGGCGCTAGGGTTTCATCTCAATTAGAGGCACCGCTCGCTCCAAACGGAACCATGAATCTCTCCTTAGCAGCACCTTCAGCTTTTCGCGGGAATCTCCTTGTTCCTCTGTCGCGCTGCACCTCTTGCTTTGAGTTTGATCTCCGCTTGCTTCACTCCCACGGTTTTCGTCATTCGCGCTGTCGTTGGAGTTCGTTAGAGTTGATTCGGAACCCGAGGTACGAGTTTCTTTTTCGTTCTAGCGGAATCCGCTTCGTTTTCCGATTGTTACTGATTTGGCTTCAAATGCCGATACGATTTTGAACTGGAATAGATCAAGCCGGAGGAGAGGGATTGCATGCAGCGTTACTGAGCCACATAACGATAGCGACGAGAAGGTACTTTCAGTTTGCTACTATATCTGTTTCGGTTTTTATTTATTTATTTATTTATTTTTATTTTATAGATGTTGAATATTTCTTTAGTAATCAGCTTATTCTCTTTAACTGACATTAAGATCCTCAAATTGGAGTTTCATGTGATGAAGACTTTTGACTTGAATTAAAGCTTGCAAAATTGTTAGAATTAGAGATTCTTGCATGGTTATTTTATCGGGTCTGCTAAGGGAAGATATTAAGACAATGCTTAACTAGTATTTAAATTAGTTTATTAAATGCATTCAATTACCTCAAAAGATTAAATTATACTTGTCTTTTTAATATAATCATAGCTTTTTATTTTCTTAATCAGTGCAATTTGGATTGGAAAGGTGGACCTTGATTACAATACTATTTGGTGTGAATGTCTGATATAACTCGTCTGCTAAGCTTGTGGCACCTGGCTAGTTTAAGGAGTCAACTCCCTAATGACGTGTGAAGGAGAAGTACAAGTAGGAATTAAATTAAAATAGTTAACACCATGTTCTTTAACACACCCTTTATTATTATTGGTTAAATTTTATTGAAAACTAAAAACTTATGAGAGATTTATTAAATAAGTTATGGAATCCACAATTTTTTTTTAATGTCCAATAAATTTTAACCAATATAAAATAATGTATGTTCAAAAGAGTGTATCTCTTTTAAATTAATCCCCAATATATTAGTCATTGAAGGTTGTTTTCTGGATTGGAAATGTCATTAAAATATCCTTAATTTTGTGGAAATTTAACTACATTTGACTAAACTTCCCTTCCGTTCCATTAATGCTCTCTTAATTCCACTTAATGAAAATACCAAGAGAAAAGGATAAAATAGGCATTGGGAGAGCTTGCCTCCTTAAATAGGTCAACACGGATGGATTCAGGTATCGAGAGTTTCAGACCAAAATCAAATCCAATGAACAAATTTCTTGCCTCTAAAACAATTGATACGTTGAAATAGATGGAGTACATTCCAGTTGGGGTCAAAAATACAAAAGTTGTCATTTGGAATTTTTTTTATTGGTAAAGAAAAGTTTAGATTAGAAAAAGGCACGACTCTATGCAAGGCCATAGCCAACTATTAATCTCTTTTAAGTATTTTTAGTGAAATTATGGATCATTTACTTGAATGCGGATGATTTAGCAAATTTGTAATCAACATTTTTTCCTTTTATTAACACAAAATGTTGACCTTTTCAACTTCTCTTACTTTCCCTTGACAATGTGCAATTTTAAATTCACTTAGGAGAAAGCAGATAATAATGGAGAAGCACAACCTTTGGAGGATTCGTCTGAGCAAACTAACCCTCTGCCTGTAGATGCCGGACAACTAAACAAGTTTAGTGATGAAAATAAGGATCAAAATGATGAGCAGGTGATCTTTGGCTTATTTAGCTTCCCTTTTAGATTTGAATCAGAAATAGATATGTTGCCAAAGTTCAAATCTTTTTTTGTCACTGTTTAATATCTTATTGAACACTGCTAAAAGGACTGTTACTCATGGACATAATGCACTCAAGAAGTTATCTTATGAAGCTGATTTCATCCTATTTATTATACTCATAATATGTAAGAGAGCCTTTTTTCAGTTACAATTAAGTGTACTTCTTTCTCTAGTTGTGCAATAATCAGTAGAAAGAGCCGGTAAACTAATTGATATAAAGTCTCCTGGTCACTGTTTGTGCATGGAAAATATTCATAACTATATATCCTTGATAAGTCCATGTCTTTGCAATTCGTCTAAATTAAATCCTTAAAATGGGACCTAGTTTGTCTAGTCTGACTACATCAACCGTTACTTGCCACAATAAAATCTCCTTAATAATTCATTTAACTATGCCATCATGGACTCCATTTTATTTTAAGTTATCAAAAATAAGAAAAAAAAGGAGTAAATTGTGTCATTTGGAGTTACGAGCATTATATGAAAGTTTTCTTGTCTCATTCTTTGGGCTTATGATCAAAACAGAATATGGATAGCCAAGAAGTTGCCAGTGGATCGCCTCTGCCAGGTGTGAAGGTGATTGCATTTTGTTCAGTATTTCCTACTTTAGAAGACACATTCTCCTCTTCTAATTTTTTTTGTGTTTCTGTTATTTTTGTGTTTTAAACAGCCTCAGCAACTGGATGAAGCAATAAAAATTCCGAAGGAAACAATTGAAATTCTTAAGAACCAAGTTTTTGGCTTTGATACTTTTTTTGTAACTAGCCAAGATCCTTACGAGGTATGAGCATCGTCTCTATATATTTCCTTTTGCATGTGCACAGAGGTCTTTTTGTATGAAGGATAGATCCTTCTTCTCTGCCAGGGTGGAGTATTGTTCAAAGGGAACTTACGAGGGCAAGCTGCTAAAAGTTATGATAAAATAGCTAAGAGATTGCAAGTAAGTCATTTTCTGTTTCTTTGTTTAAGTGGATTTGTGCTTGATTCCAGCTCAAATCAGTGTCTGAACTATATTTCTGCATAAATATTGTTATAGGATAAATTTGGGGATGAATACAAGCTTTTCCTTTTAGTAAATCCTGAGGATGATAAGCCAGTGGCCGTTGTGGTTCCAAGAACAACCTTACAACCAGAGACAACTGGTACTTGTTTAGCTCCTGCAACTTTATGGATCAAAATGTGTTCTGCTTTTTTATTTTATTTTATTTTTATAAAATCTCTTGATTTGTACTTATGGTGTTATTTGTCTTTGCAGCTGTACCTGAGTGGTTTGCTGCTGGATCTTTTGGACTGGTTACAGCTTTTACCTTACTGCTTCGCAATGTTCCGGCTTTGCAATCCAATTTATTGTGAGCTCTTCTTATGCCTTAATTTGTCATTTCGCACTCTGTTATCTCATTCCAGAGTATAGTGTCGCACAACTGTTTCATGCATTTTTGTTTTGTATACTGCTTTAGTTTCTCTGTACTCCTTCGATCAAGTAATATATTCAGGATCAGGACAATTTCAAAATTACATTGTTTGGGTACAGAAATGTTGATCTTCCAGGCTGTATGATTCATAATAGGATGGTCTCATAAAATACTTTAACTATTGATGAATTCTTTTCCGCCTTTCATAGGAATAAATCTTTATTTTTGTTGTCATTTTCCTGGCTGCTGATTGTTTCATGTCATAGATGCTTCAATTTGTTATGCACTTATAGAGTGCAATTTAGTGGTTGTTAGGTTTAAGAAAATGCTTTTTGTTTTCACTTTTCATTACAAAAATGTTAACTTGTTTTTAACTTTATATTTTGTTTTCAAAAGTTTGTATGGGTGAAAACAATAAAAGAATTTGTATTTAAAAGTGGAAAAAAGAACAGAATATTTTTTCAAATCAAATGGCACCTTAGTTTTTTGGATATATTTTAGGTCCTAATTAATGCGAAGTTTGGATTGGTGAGTAGGCTTTAGCACTTGATTACAGTGAAAAGATGCATATTCTGAAATGTCTTTGAATAATTATTCTACATCAGCAAGTTTGCTTCATATTTTGATGTTTCACGAAATTAATATTATTAATGTTCCAGATCAACTTTTGACAATCTGAACTTGTTAAAGGATGGCCTCCCCGGAGCCCTTGTTACTGCACTTATTCTCGGGGTACATGAACTTGGTCACTTTTTAGCTGCCAAAAACACTGGAGTTAAACTTGGGGTCCCATACTTTGTTCCTAGCTGGCAGGTTGTATGCTTGAATTCTTTATATTTTATTACAATGTTTTTTATAAAGATACTTCTTTATTTCTTTTACTTAAAGAACATAATAATTGAGGGTATCATGCTTTCCATCTAGTACGCATTACAAAAGAGCTCCAATTCTGATGAGCAATTCGGAGGATGTGTACTTGCATAGAGCTTTAATTCATTCCTTCATTTTTGGTTAATTATTTATCATTGTTGATACATGACAATTGGAAGTAATGGATAAAACATGTTTTCTTTATAACTAACAATTCAAATGTATCTCTTAGCTGTAGGTTGTTGCCATGTTTAAACATGTTTATTCAATAGAAAGCATTCCATCTATGTTTGTATTGCACAAGAAAAATGTTAATAACAACTCTCTAAGACTCTTTCTAATACTCTCTATTATTGGTTGAAAATCACAAATTTCATTGAGTCCTCCCTTAAATTAGAAGAGAGACTCATTAAATGAGATGTGAGTCTCACAAAATTTATGAATTTCATTAAATTTCACTCAATAATAAAGAGTGTTAGAGAAATTGTCGCTAACATTCCTCCTTGTACAATACAACCGGTGATTGATGTTAACCAGATTAAGACCTAAAGTATGTCCTTTGGGAACTGCTTGTGTTGCTTTCCTATGAAGTCAAGTCTTTCTCTTCTGGATTGCTTGATTATCACTGGTATCCAAAAAAATTGGCAATCATACGAATTGCCCAATATTAGTTAATACCGCTGTGGTACTTTAGGAATAGAATTATGCCTTATAGTGTGCTTTTCTTGCTATCTAATTTAATATGTTATGTATGGTGTCAAGATTCAAAGGGACAATTTGGATATTGGTCAATTTTCCTCTTGTTAATACAAGAAACCGAAATTCTTATGAGTAATTTGGTGGCAGATAGGCTCTTTTGGTGCCATTACGAGAATAAGAAACATCGTACGCAACCGTGAAGATCTGCTCAAGGTTGCAGCTGCTGGACCGATAGCTGGCTATTCATTGGGTCTTTTGCTTCTGCTTCTAGGTTTTGTCTTGCCTCCCAGTGATGGTCTTGGTGTGGTTGTTGATGCTTCTGTGTTTCACGAGTCATTTCTTGCTGGCGGTATTGGTAAGTTATAACACTTTAGTAAGCGTAAAGAAATTTAGATGCATTCATTTATAAGTTTTATCAAAATAATTTCAAATGAGCATTTATTTAGTTGTTAGTGTTACGGAGTAACAAATTAAATATGACTGCCATATATATTACTGAATATTTTTATTTGCTGCCTTATTGATTTAAAAAATCAATATGTGGTGACATTTTTATTTACATTTTTAGCAAAGCTGCTTCTTGGTAACGTTCTCAAGGAAGGAACTGCGATTTCTGTCAACCCTCTTGTGATTTGGGCTTGGGCTGGACTCCTTATCAATGCCATCAACAGCAT